TTCAGCCCATAGTATATGGTTATATTGAGAAACTACTTAAAAATACTTGGGAATGTCCTTTTGAAAATTTTTAGACTAAAGTGAAAGTTCTTAAGATCAGTAAAATGAACTATATCACATGAAGAAGGAGGAAAGTCACAGAAAATAACTGAAACTACTTTTAAAAAAAGAATTTCTGGCTTTTAATTTACCACATTTGAGTCTGGTACCAATATACCTTTGTTTAGCATATCCTTTTAAAAATTAATTTCTATTTAACATTCTAGATATTTAAAGTTTTCCTCCTGGTGTGGCCCTGTAGGATCAGCACTGGACTTTGAACCACAGTATTGGCAATTCAAATCTACCAACTGTTCCTCAGAAACCCAATACAGCATTGCTATGAGTTGAAAAACAACTTAACGGCACTTACTAACAACAACTTTTAAATCAGCTCACAAATATAGAAAAACTTTGAATTGGTGATTTTACAGTTAAGTTGTATTGTTAATTGCATGGCAAGACAGCAATATGAGGCAGAAATAACCACCTCCACATGAGAAAGAATCCAGAAATAGCTTATGTTTTGAAAGTTGGGGCTATAATCCTTTCTGTCTGCAGTAACACCCCCTCCTACTGATTGCAGATAATCCTGAGGATCTGTTTTTTCTAATTCTGTTGTTTAATTATAGAAAAAGTCCTGGTGTGATGCTGTAGGATAAGCAATGGACCACAAGTTGGTTTGAATCACAAGGCTGGCAGTTCAAACTCACCAGCAATTTCTCGGAAACCCTATACTATGGGTTGCTATGAGACAGAACCGACTTCACGGCACTTACCAGCAGCAACAATTACAGAAAGGAAAGCTAGTGAATGAGTGATTATTATAGGTGTCTTCATATCCTTAGAAATTATAAAACAATAAATAAAATCACAAAGAAGTGTGGCAGTGTATTTATAGTCTGACTCTGAGTAGATGAGTAAAATGAACTATAAAAAGGTATACTGGCACAATAACTGAAACAATGGGTTCAAATAGAACAATTACGAGGGTGGCGCAGAACTGGGTAGTTTGTTATTCTGCAGTACATAGTGTTGCCATGAGTCAGAACCAAGGTGAAGACATCTAACAACAGCAACAACAAATGAAAATGTCACCCAGGAAGGTTTATCTTCTGCAGTTAAAAAATATATCATTCATAATAAAGCAGCATCTTTGTGACATCCCTTTCCTCATAGAATGAATCACCACAAAAACTATTTAATGGCAATCAGGAAAAGAAAAATAGGCTGTAGGTATTATAGTAATGACAAGGTAGTATCAAAGTTAAGTTTGATTGGTAATTCAGAATTTCATTTGGTGTATGTTATTATCACCAGTGATGTACTTAGGCTTCTAATAACTATAATACATGGAGCATCATTATATTCAATGAAAATAAAAAGAAACACATGTAAAATTGGGCAGTCTGATGCCTGTAAATGAAAATGTAGGAGAAATATTTGGTGACTGTTTTAATGCACATAATTAAGAATCTGGCAATGCATGCTACTAATGGAATCCTTAATTTAGAAATGGCTGCAGCAGTACATTGATAGAGAATTGCCAGAGGTTCTAGCCAGATTCAGATGATGATGTGGAACAAGGAATATCATTGCTGACATTAGCTAGACCTTGGCTGAGAGAAGAGAATATCATATCAGAAAGATGTTTACCTGT